GAACAGTGACTCAAATAAACAAAGAAAAAGATCTAACCAGATATGCTCATTATCAATCTTGGGTGTAATAAAAGAAGACAGATAATTCAGAATCCAGGTTGTATTCACAGAGTTCACTCATGGATAAATCTTTTTTTCTCCACCTCATCATAGAACAGAGGAAAAATTCAGGTCTCCCTAGGCTTTTGAATGAGTTCAAGTGGAGAAACCTCATCAGTAAAGAACAGAGGGAAGAAAAACCCAGTATGGAAAATACTTAGTTATTACTTAATATTATTTTAAGTAGAAAATAAGAGAGGGCTTTTTCACAAATTTCTCTAAATGATATTTTTCTTGGACTTCTCAATCCTTTATTCCCTGCCTTTAAAAGCCACTGATTAATCTGAAGTCTGAAAAGATAGTTTCTTTGGATCTTTGGCTCCAAATTCTTTGTAATATAGTCACATGTTGTCATCTGTAAGTCAAGGTCATGTGTAAAGTCATAACTTGAACAGCCTACTGAGTAATGGTGAAGTCTGCCCTTTTATGAACAGAGAGAGCTTCTACGCTGAAATGTAGCTTGGTAGCTTACTAGCACTTCCCTGTATTCTTTTTTACCCTTTTTTGTGATCTGAAGAAAATCATAAAGACGTGCCAAAAATCTAAAGGAAAAATCTATCTTATCCACTAATGGAAATGACCTAAGGTACACCCTTTAATTTATGACTCTGGAGAAGTCATAAATAAAATTCTTGCAACCTTCATGACAATAAACCTAAGAATTAGGTTTTGGAACTAGAACTTGCCAACAAAGGGGAAATGCCAACATTCAAAAAATCTAGGAAATAAAAAAAAAATCAAGTCAAACCACGTGACCCCTGTCACTATCTCTGATTTCATGTACCAACTCCCGCCCCCCCCATCCCTTGGTTTGCTCTGTTCCTGATCCCTGTGAAGGATCCTTGTGAAGGATCCCCATGCCAGGCACAATCCTGTTTCAGGACCTTTATACTTGCTGTCTCTTGAGCCTAGAACACTATCTGTTTTGACATTGACACTGCTTTTTCCCTCTCTTCCTTCAGGTCTGTATCAAAAGCAAACTCACAGTGGCTAACCACATCTTATTGACTGACTGCCTGCCTTACAAGAACATGAGCTCTGTAAGGACAGGGATTACTGTCTGATTTTTCACTGCTTTAGAACCAGATTTTTTTCATTTAAAAGTAATAAATGTACTAGTCAAAACTCTAGCAAAATTTCAATAAAGAACTACAGATATCAAAATACAACAAAGGACAAAATATTCTCATGAGACTATTTATTAAGCATATTAAAATTAAAATATCTTACAAGTATAAAATAGACTCGGTGTTCCTTACTCAGGTGACTAAAAGTATCTACTGTGCTGAAGTGGGCAACTAGCTTTATTTATATCAGGGAACCTCAAATTAAGGATAAAGGCAACGGGTGGGTATACCATGCAGACAAAGAGAAAGTAAAGTAACTCGAAGAGAAATGTCATGCCCCTCATGATTCCTATGCGGTGTGGACACTGAGCTAAGGGCTGGGAAACGGCCACTCGGTGTTTCAAGGTTAGAAGCAAAGAGGTACAGAGGAGAATAGAACAATATACCAGAGGGGCCAAGAAAAGCTGGGGCTTTAGAGACAGTTAGCAAGGGGAAGATGGCAGATGCCTCTGGAAGCATTACCCGGGGGGAGGGAGGATGAACTAGAATTCACCAATTGTCAAACACTGTTTCAGTACCTGGAGGGAAAGAATAGAAGAACCAAAGGACAACGCAAGACACCCCTACAAAGGTGAGGGCTCCACTCTTCCTAGATACAGTATATTTCCCCAGGCATACCAGGGAGGAAAGTGGGGAAGGGCAGAAGAGTCTGTGAGATTGCACAAGTTTCTCTTCAAGACCCAAAACAACAGCACTTCAAGGAAGGATTTACAATTTGAATTGGACTAAGTTTTAAATGGACAGAATTAAAGATAACTTTTCTACTAGCAAGATTTCTACTACCAAAATGTATCATATTATATACAGACTAAATAAATATATTTTCTGAACATCTAAACTGCAATATCAGTAAACATACAAAACCATAACAAAAGCATCAGAAAATATCTGATCACATGTAGGAAAACATTTCTCAGGGATAAGGTGAGAAGATTCTCAGGGAGAATCTTTTTTTAAAATCAAAAGATTATACCATATAGCATTTGAAATTGTAGTGCTTTAAAAACAAACAAAAATTAAAAGCCAAGTTATTAAAAGCAGGAAAATTACAACACGTAAAAAAGAACTGAATATTAATATCCTCATCACATAAACATTTTGAAGGTGGTAAAGCAGTGCAGTAAAAATTAGCAAAATAGGGCAACCTCCTCAGCTCCCCTCCCACTGAGGGAGCTTTTCTGTCCTCTTAATAAATCTTGATTTCTAAAAAATAAAAAAATAAAAATTAGCAAAATAAAACAGATGAATCAAAAAGGATAAATAACAAAGAGCTGAAAACCTGTTTAGCCTCCCTAGTTAGTAGTCAATAAAAAATAAACTTTAAAAAAACATTACATTGTAATTATCAAATAATTCTTTTTTTTTTTGAGTTGGAGTCTCACTCTGTCGCCAGACTGGAGTGCAGTGGCCGCTTCCAGCCACCGCAGCCTCGACCTGCTGGGCTCCGGCGATCCTTCCACCTCAGCCTTCCAAGTAGCCAGAATTACAGGCATGCGCTACCACGCCCAGCTAATTTTTTGATTTATTGTAGAGATGAGGTCTCACTGCCCAGGCGGGTCTCGAACCCGCGGGCTCAGGCAATTCACTCACCTCAGCCTCCCAAAGGCGCGGGATTACAGGCTGAGCCACCGAGCCCAGCTCCTCAAATAATTCTTTTAACTCAGTTTTGTCTGAATGGAATAGGTATTCTTCTAAACTGTAAGAAATTAAAAAGTTGCAAAGTAGCCGGGCTCTGAGGCTCAGCCTGTAACCCTGAGCTTTGGGAGGCTGAAATGAGTGGATTGCCTGAGCCCGCGGGTTTGAGACCTGCCTGGGCAACTTGGTGAGACCTCATCTCTACAATAAATCAAAAAATTAGCTGGGTGTGGTAGCGCATGCCTGTAGTTCCAGTTACTTGGAAGGCTGGGGCGGAAGGATCGCCGAAGCCCAGCAGGTTGAGGTTGCAGTAGCCGGGAGCGGCCACTGCACTCCAGTCTGGGCAACAGAGTGAGACTCCAACTCAAAAAAAAAAAGTTGCAAAGTATAAACTTTAATATAATTGGGCAATACATTATTCTTGTTAGCCCAAATAATCACCTTATAGTAATCTATCTTAAGAAAAAAATCAGTGATGTGAACAAAGATTTGTACATAAAGAATGTTTACTGTAGCATTCTTTATAATAGTCAGTGGGGGAGAGGGGCAACCTAGATGATCAAAGATGGGCATACACTTATAAAGTAAACTTTTTGACGTCATAAGAAGTATTATGTAGCCAAAGATAGTTCAGAAGGATTATTTAAAGATATGACAAACAGTCACTATATTAAGTGAGAAGAGGGCACCATATGGCATTACAGGATATAAGAATTATGACAAGCCGGGCTCGGTGGCTCAGCCTGTAATCCCGCGCCTTTGGGAGGCTGAGGTGAGTGGATTAACTGAGCCCGCGGGTTCGAGACCTTGCCTGGGCAACTTGGTGAGACCTCATCTCTACAATAAATCAAAAAATTAGCTGGGTGTGGTAGCGCATGCCTGTAATTCCGGCTACTTGGAAGGCTGAGGCGGAAGGATCGCCAGAGCCCAGCAGATCGAGGCTGCGGTGGCCGGGAGTAGCCACTGCACTCCAGTCTGGGCGACAGAGTGAGACTCCAACTCAAAAAAAAAAGAATTATGACATAACCATGCAAAGGAACACTGCAACAACAACAAAGGACAAAACTCAGATAAGCAACAAGGATGAATCTCAACACAAACAAAACAAGAAAACCATTACACAAAGTGAAAGAAGCCAGACACAAAATAAATATTGTATGAGTCTATTTATATAAAGTTCAACAACAGGGAAAACTAATCTATGATGGTAGAACAGTGGTTATTTCTGGGACAAGAGTGGTCAAATGCAAAGAGGTCTGAAGAAATTCTGAGGGGTAATGGGATCATTCAGTATCTTGATCTGAGTAGCGATCACATGAGGATATATATATGTAAAATGTCATCAAATAAAATATAAATACAAATATACTTAAATAAAATAATAATAGTCATTAAGATGTACACTTAAAATCTGTGCATTTTACTGCGCGTATATTTTACCTTCATAAAGTACTAAGAAATTGCATATAAAGGACAATTTCAACTTTGTTAAACATATTTAAATGCAATATAAAAAAGAAAGTAAAGCACACGAAAATATTAAAGGTGGAAAATTCTGGAATTGCAAATTACTTACATTTTCCTTTTACCTTTCTGCATTTTTCACATTCTATATGGTGAGTTTTATATGACTTTTATGAAAAAAAAATAAACACTAAACTTTATTTTCAAACTTCTGCCATGCTTCTAGAAGAAAATTCTGTTGCACTTGTAACTATCACATAATCATGAAATATGCAGAAAGACTTCGTAAATCCATCTTCCCTCCAAAAAATTCCCTATAAATTACAAATACTCATATTCATTAATGTACTTAGACAAATAAAGAAAAACACCAAGCTCCACTTGGTCAATGAATGAGAAAGTCAGCACTATAAACTTGTAGAACGACTTTAAAACTTGGTTCTGCCTGCAACAAATATTGGGCTCCTATGACCCAATAAAAACTACTTCCTGAAAAGCGTGGGATTTTTAAAAATTTATTACTTTAAATTCTCCCATTGACCTGATTTACCTAAATTCCATGCAAAATATCCAAGGTCAATTAGAATTACAATGAAAATACTCTTTTAATTTCAGAATCTTTTACAATATGCATAAAATAATAAATAAGGACAAAACCAAAGAAGACATACAAACCTCTGATTGTACATGCCCCGAAAGTTGTAATTAGCTCTATAATTTGGGAATGGCTTTGGATCTAATGGCCTGTAGATGGCAGGCTCTCCCCTTTTCATAGCAAGCCCATTCAGTTCCACAGTTGGAGTTATACTGCCTGTTTAAAAAAAATATTAAAGGCACACAAGTGAAATATTTCCACAATAAAGCATGCAAGCTATATTTATATCACATATAATTACCATGGAAGAAGGTAAGAGTGGATGGACTACCCTACCTTCTCTAAGGAAGTGCATAAACAAAGTTAAAAAAAATTTTCTAATAGAATCTCTGGGGTTTTTGAAACATTCTTTGTAAATTAATGATCAAAAATTCAAGTGTGTAACCATATTTTTAAAACAAGGTAAACAGAAAATTCTTAGATTGGTTAGCTTGGATATTATTTTTAAAGTACTGAACTTCAACATTACTTACTCCAGGATGCTTGCATGTATTTAATCATTAAAGACATCATCTGTGAATATTTCTATTTATACTTTGGTAATAAAATAACTAAACATTAGCAATGAATACAGGGGTCATCAGTGGTTCTTGCACTTATACAAAAAAATTTTAAGTTTTTTCTATAACCAACAAGACAAAGTAAATATAAGTGGCACTTTCTGTAGATATTTCCTGAAATCGTCATCTATTCCTAGTAAATATTAAAGATATATACAAGTAGCACTATCGTTAAAGCAGAAGACTAGAAACGCCCTGAACAACATGAATGCTGCACCAGTAATACAAACATCCATTCTACAAAATACTCAACAGCTATAAAAGAGTAAGAATAATACACACCTTGTTTTTTTTTTTAACTTAACAATATACCTTGGAGGTTACACCTTAGCAGTGTAGGGTAGAGACTATTAAAGGAAAGGCACCAAACTGTGTGTTTTACTTCACCTTTTATCTAAGAGAGGTGAAAATACAAATATAAATACATATTTGCCTATTTTTTTTTCTCTTTTTGAGTCAGGATCTCACTGTTGCCCAGGCTAGAGTGCAGTAGCTCACAGTCACCGCAGCCTCAACCTGCTGGGCTCAGGCAATCCTTCTGCTTCAGTCTTCTAAAGAAGCTGGAACCACATGTGCACAACCACACCCAGCTAAGCTTTTTGATTTATTGTAGAGACAAGGTCTCCCCACATTGTCCTGGCTGGTCTCAAACCCCTGGGCTCAGGCAATCCTCTCGCCTCAGCCTCCCAAACTGCTGGGATTACTCTATCATGCCTAATTTTTAAAAGAGTAAATCCAAAACTAAAGAAAAAAAAAAAGTTACTTACAGGGAGAAGGTACAAATAGAGGAGAGGAGAAATGGAAGCTGTACTCCTCTGAATGTACACTGTTTCATATATTTTATTTTGAAAACAAGCATTTTTACAAAATTATCAAAAAACAAAATATCATCAAAATGAAGGGTAAGCAATCCCCAAAATCGAAAGAAAAAATGAAATTGAATCTGTGGTGACTTAACCAGAGAGAAAATTATGTCAAATGACTTTAAACACTAAAATAGCCATAATGAGATCTTAAAGAGAAAGTCTTAAACTGTCTTCAATAATCACATTATTAGTAATACAATTATAACTAGCAATATACTTTTGGTTAATTCAAACAAAATAAAATCAAAATGGAGAGAAAGTAATCGCTAAAAAGAAAACCAAGCAATCAAAACCTAGCAGTGAATCAAATTGATGGTCTTAATCATACAAATAATAATTATTTCAAATGACTTTAAAACACAGTAAAATAACCACATATCCTTAAGAGGAGAAAAAAACCTGCAAAGAAATCATAAACTATTTACACTAATCATGCTGTTAGTAATACTAGGGACCGTCTGTCTCAACACAATGGGTACTATTATAAAATCATTTTAGAGAAGAGACATAAAACAATTATATTAATGCTTTAGAAACCAAGATGTTTATCATAAAAGAGATGCAAATATAAAATCAAATACATTCATAAAAGAGATGCAAATATAAAATCAAATACATTAAGTCCTATAGTCTTAAAACTGAATTGAAAAATCAGTATGAATTCATGATGTATTTTCTCTTCAAAAAAAAGAAAAAGAAAAAAGAGTAGGATATTTCCTAGTTCTAATCACTTATGAAGCCAAAAAGCAAAGACCAATCTATGAATAACGAGAACAGCCAGCATCGAGGTTGGTTTATAATTATCATTTCCCAATTTTTAAAAAAATTCTTGGAGCAATGGATGATTTTTGGTCATGATACTGATACATAAAAGGAAAGAGCCAAGGACTTATCTTGCCTTTACTCCAGTAAACTACATTTGGAGCAAACAGATGATGAAGGGAAAATTCTTCAACTGTTAGGACTGTAGCTAAAAAAACACAAAAGGAATGATCCCTCAAAAAAAAAAAAAAAAAAAATCACCATTTTTGTAACTCCTGTTAAAAATAACTGATCTTCCAGGCAATGAGCATTAGCAGGCTGCTGCAGCCATTAGGTCAAATGTTGATAAGGAACTTATAATGGATGAATCAGGCTAATGATCACGGAACCCACTGATCAATCTTAAAATCACAAAAGAAGAGACAACAATCAATTAAGTGCCTTCTGATGTAGCACAATCGGAAGAGATAAAACTATCTATAAAACAGTCTTGCCAAAAAACTCAAACCTGAATCTATATATCCATTAGCTTATCAGTTTACAAAAAATCCAGGGAATAGGCAGATGAGTTGTATAACACCATAGGTATGCAATCAGCAAAATGATAAATGTGGAAATTCTATGGGACTAATGACCTGGTGACTTTAACAAATAATCTATATAGGAAAATAAAGATTGAAAGTGGTTCTACTTTACTTTCCCCCCCCCTGGGTTCTACATTTTTTAAGAGACATTATCAACCCAATGCAATAAATGGTCTTCATGTCAATCTTTATTTGGATAAACCAATTATGAAAAAAAAAAAATGAGACAATAAGGGAAATCTGAACTCTGAACATTTTTTAATAATGTTTTGTTTGCTTGATAATAATAGTGGGGCTAGTGTTTTTAATATTGATAGTCTTTTTAAAAAAAATCTGTGAATATACATTTATGGATGAAGTGATATATCTAGATTTGCTTCAAAATTACCCAGGGGGAGACAGATGAGAAACAAGATAGGCCTGCCACCATGAGTTGATAATTGTTGAACTTGTGCTGGGTTGAGAAGACAATCACTATCTTATTCTCTCTACTTTTGTAAAAGCTTGAAATATTCCATAAAAAAACACAATGTAAAATTACATCAAGTTATTTTTAGTACCAAGAGGTTATTTAGTAAAACATATCTATATATGTTCTAACAAATCATGAAAATGAATATATAGCTTTTACAGAAACCAAAATTCACTACAAATTTGCAACATTTCAATTGAATTATGCCTTTAAACCACACACGTTTAAGACTCCACTCATTACATACAAAAATGAGTCTGCTTTTTGCAGCAGAGAAATTGGGGCTGGCATAAAGTACCAGCCAAGGGGTGATAGAGACTGACACAAATGTACAATTGGCATCCAGGTTATAATCAATCCACCAAGATAAATGCAGTAAAATAAAGCAATAAACTGCTCATCTCATTTCTAAAGAATCAATGTGAAACCACTAAAGAGACAAGAACAGGAACCAAATCAAGGTTAAGAAGGAAAAGAGAAAAACAAAGGAGGAGGAAGACAGAGGAGGAGGAGGAAAGGAAAAAGAACAGCAAAGAACAGTTAATGCAATGAACAGTAAATCCAATTAGTCCAAATCCCTAATTTAATAAGTACACATCGCAAAGATAAAAGAAAGTCAAGCATAAAGGGATTCTCTTTCTTTTTTGCAGCATTTTCCTGAAGGATAAGTAAAATGCACAACCTTAAGCACAGAGTTTAATAAATTATTACATATGTAAACACTCATGAGCACCACTTCATCATCCAGAAATTTCCTTCAGCCTCTCTAGTCAACACCCACCTACCCTTTCTGACACCAGGCATCACAGATCAGTGTGCCTGTTCTTCATATCTAAGTATGGATTATTTTCTGTCTTGCTTCTTTCACTCAACAATTTTGTTTGCATTTACCACTATTTTAACTTTTTAAAATTACTAAATAGTATTCCACTGAATGAAAATGCTACAATTTGTATTCAGGTTGTTTCCAGTTTGGGGCTTCTATGTACAAAAGCTATTTGGCCGGGCTCGGTGGCTCAGCCTATAATCCTGCGCCTTGGGAGGTTGAGGTGAGTGGATTGCCTGAGCCCACAGGTTCAAGACCCGCCTGGGCAACTTGGTAAGACCTCATCTCTACAATGAATAAAAAAAAAAAAAAAAAAATGAGCCAGGCGTGGTAGCGCACACCTGTAGTTCCAGCTACTCGGAAGGCTGAGGCGGAAGGATCGCCAGAGCCCAGTAGGTCGAGGCTGCCGTGGCCGGGGGCAGCCACTGCACTCCAGTCTGGGCGACAGAGTGAGACTCCAACTCAGAAAAAAAAAAAGCTACATTGAACATTTTTTTGTAAATCTTTTGGTAGACATGAATACTCATTTCTCTCAGATACAGACCCAGCAGCAGAATTGCCAGTCACAAAATAGATTTAATGTTTAACTTTATTAAAAACTGCCTAATGGTTTTCCAAAGATTTTTTTAACACCAAAGATCCCTGTATGCTTCTAAGTTTAAGTTTGGTAAAGATTTCAGTTTAATAATTAACCTGTTAATCAGTTGTCCAAGATTCATGTCACTGTGAATTCTACTTTGCAATAATCATACAGCCACAGATAATGTAAAATCAAATGGGAAAAAAAAGGAAAACAAAAATGTTGAAAGATCTCATCTTTTAAGTCAGGTAATAAGTAAGAAACTAATGTATATGGAAATCACCAGTAAGGTGATTTGAATGTACTGGTGAGATATGCTCTCTATCATCCATACCATAAATTGGATTGTAAATGCAGGTTAATGAGCTATGTAATATTCATATCATCTAAATAAATAGATGACCTCACATAAATTCCTCAAATGAAAGTAAGACTACAGTATATTTTCTTCACAGAAATGTTAGAAACTGGTCTGTGTGAAGGCAAGTAGAAAAAAACCCACAAAT